ATACTTACAATACAGTGCCCCCACCACCAGGACCAAGGATACTTGTTACAAATCGAAAAAGCTTATTCAAACATTTCAGGACATTCCCCACTTCCAAAACTAGTGATTCGTTTGACAGACTTTGGACTTTGAAAAGGCTTCTTACCCGTTTCACTACTGAGACGTCCTTAGCAGTAAGAAGACTTAGCAGTCCTGTTATAGATCTGAAACTGGTTAAAGAGGGTAGGAATGAATGGCCAGCACTCACAAAGGAGAGAGATCATTGGAGACAATGAGTTTCAGTGTAGCATTGTGGTTATACTGATGGACTAGAATCCAGGAGGTCCAGTTTCTAGTCCCTACTCAGCCACAAAGCTCACTGGGTGACTTTGAGCCAGTCACTAACTCTCAGTCCAACCTACCTCATAGCGTTGTTGTGAGGATAAGATTAAGAGGAGGAGGAAGATTATGTAAGCCACTGTGGGTTCCTTGAAGGCAAAAGGGCAGAGAAAATATAAATAAATAAATAAATAAATACAATGGGGTCCTTGGAGGATCTTTGAAACTGGTGCTTTTAATAATAATTCAAATAGATATTAATTATCATACATTATCTGGTTTCAGGGGTTAGCAAAGTTTGTAGAAGACACCAAATTAGTCAGGTGGTTCAAACAAAAAGGGCTGGTAAGCAATTTCAAAAGGGCCCCTCCAAACTGGAGAGTGAATACTAAAATGGCAAATGTAATTCTATATAAGCAAGGCCTTTTCTACGTGGGCCTTTTAACTCATGATGTTACCAAGGCTTCTGCTTCTGGATCGTCTGTGGATTAAAATTATCTACTTTATACATGCTTTCTTCCAGAGTTTTTCATCCTCTGATCTTTTATATATTCCATAACACGTATGTTCTAGCTGGCTTTGTGGTAGAGCAGAATTTTGCAAATATGTCAGATTGCACGGCAACATTCAGGGATATGCCTGAACTTTGTCAGAAAAAAGTGAAACCAACCCTAAAATGGTTGCAAAGCACCGCAGAGACCTGGAGGATGACAATGTTGTGTAAAACATCCACAAACTATCCTGAGTGAAGAATCAAGAGTGCACAGTAAATGCGTCATGAAAAAAGTGTGAAGTAACATCGAGGCAAAAACAAAAACAAATCAAACTCCTAATTTCACACACATGTGGACTGGGTCTGAGTTGGTGGTGACTGAGCAGGAATGGAGATAGGGGGTTGTGGGAGATAGCTCTGTGAAAATGGCTACCCAGTATGCAGCTGCTACAAAAAAGGCAAACTCCATGCTGAGGATCATTAGAAAGGAAACTGGAAATACCACTTCATTTATTGCATTTCTTTACCACCTGATAAGAGGAAAAACCCTTTAAAATACAATACTGTGCATATTCTCAAGAGTCTCAGTCCAACACTGTGAGCACCATACCACACTGGCTTCCATAGGTCATCCAATGAACCTCAGGGGTAGAATATTTATGATAAACAAAAGGAAGTACTGCTTTATACAGTCAAATTATAGAATTTTCTACCACAGGATAGAGTGATGGCCATCAAGTTGGTTTTAAAAGATGATTAGGCAAATTAAAGGAAGGCTATGCATGGATACTAGTCATGATGGTTATAGATTGCCTCCAGCATCAAAGACAGTATACATCTGTATGCCAGCTGCTGGGGAAGATTGATAAGACAGAGTTTTATGCTTGTGACATGTTGGTGAAATTTCAATAGGCATTTGGTTTTTTGGTCTAGTCTAGTCAACTTGTGATGTTCTTATACAGGATCAGTGTTCCTTTGTTGTGATGTAGAGGAGCTTCTATGATATTATATTCCTACTTCCATATGATGAGTACCTTCTAGGGCAACAAGCATTGCAACCAAACCCAACTAAAGTTGATCATAATGAGGCTGCAAAACCAATGAAGCAGATTAGTTGTGACTATGTGTAGGAGCTGGACACAACCAACATTAGCTGACCCTAGCCATTGAATTCAATGGGGCATGGAGCATGATACATGTAAGTTTACGCAGGCAGAAGTTAAACCCTCCTGAGTATTGACTTGCTTCTTAGTCAGTATGACTGAAACCTTAAGCACACAGAATTATCCTTGGGTGAAGGCCAGGGGATACGCTGAGATATGAATGCATTTCTGACTTCAGCTTCCAAACAGTCAGCTCTTGCATCTAACTCAGGGTTGGGAAGAAAGTAAATTTCCACTAAAACTCCAACATTAGCCAGGAGAGAGTTGAAATCCAGATCTTTTTTTTGCCTGCTCCTGATCTAAAGTATTTTAGGTGCAAGTTTAAAAAGACAGCCAGTGTGGTGTAGTGGTTAGGAGTGCAGAACTGGGACTCAGGACATCTGGGTTTTAGTCCCCACTCAGCCATGCAGCTCATTGGGTGACTCTGGGCCAGCCTAATGTACTTCACAGGGTTGCTGTTGTGAGTTTAAAATAGAGCAGAGGAGGACTGTGTAAGCTGCCTTGGGTTCCTTGCAAGAGGAAGAAAGACAGGATAGAAATGTAATGTAATAAATTAAGCCTCCGGGGCAGATGCTTGCAAAACTCCAAACCCAGAGACTTACAAACATTTAGTGCAAGGCAGAAGGCATAGTGGCAAACTTCATGTCCTGCATTTTCTCTAGAAATCTCTTTCCATCTGTCTAGATTCAGCATCAGAGTGGGGGGGGGAGGGGTCTGATTGGAGTAGGTATAATTCCATGGCCCAGGCTTCTCCCATCTCTGCCCCTCAGCAGGCCCCCTTATTCCCCTTCAAGGTCCTCTTGCAACCTTGAGTGGGACAGCCAGCTTGTGAGAAGTAGAGGCAGGGGCTTGACTTTTGGACATCTGTGACTCTAAACCTTCTTTGGCTTCCCAAGTGATGTCAGGAGGCCATAGAACTGAGCCTACAGAGTATATCTTCTTGTGATTTTTTTGTTTGTACATATTCATTGGGTTGTCATCTTCATTAATCGTTTTGCTCATGCCCTTCTGATTTATCCTTTCTTCCAACCCACCATCTAAAATGAATAAATACTTTCCCTATCCATATCTGGCATGCAGACCAAGGACACCAATTTACAAGTGTGAAGTAAACTCTCTGCTCCTTAAATGGATTATAGGTTTTCCTCAGTTGTTGAATCCTGAAATATTCCTGTAGAATTCATGGCATCTAAAGAATCCCTGAAAATCAGACCTGCCAGAAATAGGTTTACCATAATTAGCTTAGTGCCTGTGTATTCAAGATAACTTTGAAAGCACTTGCATAAAAACACTTGTACAAACACAAATGCTCACAGGGGGTAGGTTCTGGGAAGGCAGAATATTGCTGAAGACATAGATTTTCTCAGTTTAGAATGTTCAGCAGATAACAAAATGCTAGCGAGCACATGATATACTTGTTTGTGCTATATGACAAAGGAGTTCTTCACAGTATCCAGGACAAATGAAAAAAAAATCTGCTGATGCAAAATACTCAAATATTTTTATGGATGAGACATTTGATATTTGGTGCTAGTGCTGAATATGCAAAGCTTCAGTTAACTTTTTTTCTCTCTTGTTGTCTTTTTGGCAATATAAAGCGAAGCTAGCATGGTGGAAGTGGGATGCGGAGATATGATAACACCATTTTTCAGAAATATTCTTTCTGCTAGCTTACTTCCAGAGAGGCAAATCAAGAAAGTCACTCTAAAAACTTAAATCAGCCTTCTCCAACATGTCTGGATTCCATTTCCCTACAGCATCAGCCAGCATTGCCAATGGTTAGAGGCAGTGAGAGCCCTATCCCAAAATATCAGGAGGAAACCAGACTGGAAAAGGCTGCAGGAACTTGTCTCCAGGATCTGGTGCAGTGAACTCAACCCAATTGAGCACAATCTAGTACATGCTTATTCAGAAGTAACTTCTCCTAGATTTAGTGGGGTCTACTCCAGGGTAAGTGTGCACAGAAGAATTTCATTCTTTAATCTTGTTCCGACAAGCTAGGAAATCTCCATAGCAATGTACGGGAGCATGTGTCTACACACAAATGCCAACACGCACACTTACATTTTCTGACCACATCAAGGAAAACCTTTCTCTGCTTAACTATATGGGTTCTTTACTTCTGCTGTACAATCCTTTATTTTTAGAAATGTCTACCACGTACACAGATGCTTTCCTTTTGGAGCAGTAATAGTAAGACTTCTCTGCTTCAAGCAACCATTCTGTCTATTCTGTGTATAGGTGCTCATGTCCAACAAAGAGTTAATGTTTTATTTCCCTTAATATTTGGTCTAACGCTCCTGGTTTCCCTTCTCCAGCCCCTCCTCCCGCCACAAAAGCTTCGATATGTTGGCTAGCTCAGACGTATACTTAAATCGGGGCTGTAAGATACCTTTTTAACGGGCTGTGTTTCCAGCCCGCTTTCAAAAGGCGGCTCTTTTCAGTAGCTCTGTTCTGCTTAAAATTCACAGTACGGAACGTAGGATCCATTTCATTTCCATCCATCTGGGCATGCCAAGCATCCTTCGTCTTGTCCTTCAGGCAAAATGTCACTAAATTATCTCTCACCAGAGAGGCATTTATTTTATGGCTTTTATTTGAAAGAGTATGCTTTGTTTAAAAAAAAAAAAAGTGCCAGGATGCCCTTCCTCTGAGGAGAGCAATGCCCTCCTGTGACCCCCCACAATGACCAATAACATAAAATCTAAGTCAGATTTTTGGTTCACCCCCGTTTCCTCGCAGGCTCATTGATCTCAAGCTGCTCTTTAATTGGACTCTAACTCTCACAAAGAAAAATCTGCATTCAGCCAGTGTGAAATACAATCACTTCCATCAGCAAGAACGGCTGTTTAGAATATGATTAGCTCTTCGCTGCAGACCACACTGAACTGGGAACGTGAAAACACACCCCTTTCTGACAGAATGAACGGGAGATTGTGCTACACGATCCAGAAGACGCCACTGAAGCCTTCCCCGCACCCCGGGTAGGAAATTTATCGGAATGAAGAGGCTGGGTGATCACCTACCTCACCTGAAGTGTCACTTCAAGATTTCCCAGCTTGCCTCGGAGAAGAAATCGGGGCTCATTCGCCCACATATGCACACCAACTGAGACTCCTTCAGAGCTGCCTGCAATCCAGAAGGCCAATAGCACATGTTGCCTAGCATTAGTCACATGACAGGTGCCAACCAATCCCCCGGCGCTTCTCACTCCTGCTTCCCAAGGGATCTTTCACAGAGCTCCCAGTTGGTTCAGGTCAGCCACAATGGGGCGCGGGGAAGGAACAGGAGTTTAGCTCGACCCCCTCACTTGTTTGTCTGGATGAGCCTCACGAGGAACAGGCACTTGGCACTTAATGACTGACAATAGTGAGGTCACCAGGGGTCAGGCGGGTAAGGAATTCCCAGCTGTGAAAACATTACAAATTGGGTCCGGGAAGGAGCCCTGAGTCTTTTCAGGGGGATGCAGAGCAGAGTAGCTTAAAGACAAACAGAAGTGGCTGAATATAAATGAGGACTTTACAACAGCAGGGACAGGTTATTACAGAGATTAGAGGCAGGATTTACAAGAGCTGTATTGGATTAGCCATAATTGGGCCAAAATGGGAAGTCCCTTATTTAGCTGGGATAGTTTTTAAAAGATTAAAAACATCATGAGGGAAACAGGTGTTATTCATAAGTAGCACTTAAAAACAACAATATCATGAGTACATTCCAGTCTGGAATTGCACAAATTCCATGTTTTGATAGAGAAAAAATAGCCCCCTTGTAACTAACAGTACAATCCAATAAGGAATTACTCAAAAGTAAATGTAATTCAATTTAGGGGGTGCAGTTCTTTCAGGATGGTAGGTATATCATTGCAATCTAGGAAGTCTCTAGCAAGGTGGAACGATCCTACTCAAGCCTTTTTGAAATAGCCATTTCAGAACAGACATGGCTATGCTGACAGTTTTGTAAAAGAATTTTTAATGCCAATATGGAACACCTTCAGCACATGAGTAAACTTGTGTGATTCATTTCTTGAGCAAGAAGAGCACCACTAGATCAAATCAAAGGACCATCTTTTCCAGCATTTATTCCCATAGTGATCAACCAGAAGCAGGGCATTAGCACAATAATACTCTTCCATTTCACGTTCCACAGCAACTGGTGTACATAAGCTTACCCTCTCTGGTATTGGAGACACCATAGCCATCAGGACTAGTAGCCAAGGATGGCCTTCTCTTCCATGAATTTATCTTATCCCCTTTTAGAACTATTTAAGCTGGCGGCCATGGCTACATCTTGTCTTAGTTCCATAATCTGACTATGCAGTGTGTGAAGTGGTACCACTTCCTTATATTACCATTAAGCTTGGTCTTCTAGTATCATGGGACAAGGGAAAATGTTCTCTACATCCACTTTCTTCATATCATGCATAATTTTATATACCTCTCTCATGTCCACCTTGCTTCCACTCATCTTTTTACTAAGTTAAAAAGCCTCAAAAGATTTGTGCCTCCAAATGATTATGATTTGGAGCATATCAAGCAAGCACTGAACATGGTTCCCCACAGTTGGGGTTCTGTGTCATTGCAGTGATATTTGGAATCAACTTCCTTCATAGGTCTGTTGGGTTGTTGGGGAAGTACCCCTACGAGCTCCAAACCTCCCTGTATATTTTGGGCTGGGTCCAGAAGAATTGCTGATGCTTTAGTCTCATTAAAGTCAGAAGAGCTTCATTTTTCATGACCAAGTTTAGGCACCAAGCTGGAGAAGGCTGCAATAGAAGTGTATGTAAACAGGACTGAAAAGACATTCAGCTGGGTGCCAAGAGCTGTACAGCAAACAGACTTTACATGCAGTTGTTCTACTGATTGCTTAGGGTTGACTTCTAAGATACTTGCAAACTTTCCAGGGTTTCATCCAACTGTGAATGAGATGTTAAGTCAAAAGGATTACTAGCAAACACATTTTGGATTATTCGCAGAAACAGCATTTACTCAGGAAGAGCTTCAAAACAGTGCTCCATGTAATGGTCCTCTGGTGCCTTTTTCTCATTAGCATTTTCCTTATTTATTTGGTTGTTTAACACAAGATTCTACCCTGTGCAAACAGCATAGCTTTGTGGGTGGCTAACAGTAACACAGAAAAGGAATACAAGAAAAGCAACAACAGTAGAGAGCAACATCTGTACTGCCCTAAGATTAGGTCATGTTGTCTGGCTGAAAAGATAAGGACCTAGAACTTCCATATGGTATTGATTTCATTGGCTCCATTTGAAGGGTTGCCCTGTGGAAGCTTAGCTTAGAGAAACAACTCTCAAAAGAAGGTGCTGGGCTTTGAAGCTGCCCATCAAGAGTTCGCACGTGGACAGCAGTCTGAGTAGGTACAACAGTCACCTAGCCACATTCCAGATGAGATGTGATGTGTTTCTATTGACATAATAGCAACTATTTCTAAATGTGCATCTATAGATGTAAAGTAGCGAATGCATACTTGGGCCCTCTTTTCTGGTACTGTGCAAATGGCCACTCTAAGTAGGGATGCTTTGGTTTGTGGTGTAAGGTGGTTAAGAGTGTGGTATGGTGGTTAAGAGCTTGGAACTGGGATTCTAGTGATCTGGGTGCTAGTCCCCGCTCAGCCATGGAGCCCACTGGGAAACTTTGGACCAGTCACAGACTCTCAGCCCAGTCTACCTCACAGGTTTGTTGTTGTGGGGATAAGTCTGAGAGCAGCAGGAGGAGAATGATGTAAGCCTCTTTGAGTTCATTGTAAAGAAAAAGCAGGATATGAATCTAATACATAAAATTTAAAAATAAGGGTTTAGCTCTCAAGACCAGATATGGGACATTGCTCATGGCCTAGAGACCCCTAAAGGCTCAGTCTGAATCCATTCCAGATCCATGATGATCCATTCCAAAAAGATTTGCAGAGATGGACTCCATTAATCCAGCTGTTTAAAAAAGGGGTTAATAGACATAGACCAGCAGCTCTGTAAAGAACTATAATTGGAATGGAAGGACTTCTTGGATCAAATGGATACTCTAGATTCAGTGACGGGAAACCTGTGGCCTTCTTGGTGTCATTTAGCTAGAATTATCACCATCCCTGGCCATCAGTCACACTGCAGATGGGTGCTGCAGGCTGCCCAGACTTGCTTAGCAGCAGGTAGAAGTACTTGTTCCTCTAAGCACTGAGAATTGTCTGGAAAGCAGAGGAATAAGATCCAGGGAATATGATTAGACCTGGGGGAGATCTAGAGTGTATACAGACATTCATGATTCTTCCTTTGGGTTCAAAGGAAACACACGGAAGGATAAGGATAACATTTTTATTGCCAAAATACATGAGCGATATCACCTGCCAAGATGAATGGGATAAGAAGAAGAGCACGAATGGGCCACTTTATCATTAAAACACATCGTTTCCATCGCAGATAAGATGGTGCACTGTAATAAAGGAGACAGGAAGACATTTCAGTTTTGCACAGAAAGGTAATAGATTTATCCCTCTTGTACTCAGCCTTTTATTATTTATTTATTTATTTAAAGTTATTATATGCCATCCCCATTCCTACACACCCTCGGGACGGCTCACAACAACAAATAAATAAAACAAATAGAATTACAATTACAATTAAAACTTGGAAACACACTGGCTGCAAAATTAAAACTATAAATATTAAAGATTATTAAAATAGTGTTTGAATAAAAAGGTCTTGGCCTGGTGCCGAAAAACAAATAACAACGGTGCCAGGTGGACCTCTGGGGAGCGCATTCCACAGATGGGGTGCCACCGCAGAGAAAGCCCTCCTCCGGGTACTTTGCTTCCTGATATCTCTTACTGAAGGCTCCCGGAGGAGAGCCCCTGCTGCCGATCTCAAGGAGTGGGAGGGCAAATATGACCGCAGGCGTTCCTTCAGGAATCCGGGTCCCAAGCCATTAAGGGCTATCAACACCTTGAATTGAGCCCGGACTTCGATGGGAAGCCAGTGAAGCTGGTAGAGGACTGGGGTTATATGAGAATAATGCCCGTCAGCAACCTGGCTGCTCTATTTTGCACCATCTGAAGTATCCGGACTGTCTTCAAGGGCAGCCCCATGTAGAGCACATTACAGAAATCCAACCGCGAAGTAACCAATGCGTGTGTCACTGTCACTAGGCAGTCGTTTTAGCTGCACAATTAATGTTTTTTCTCTCTCTTACTCCTCTCTCCACCCACACCCTTTATATATCCTAGCCAGTTGTTCAGTGAGGTAATCTTTGACACTAGACATGATGGTCCATGTGAAACACCCAAATAACACCTCTTTTTCTCCCCACAGCCACCATCCCATGCCTGGTAACTGTGTCTAATTAATATTATTTATTTTATTTCTATTCCCACTCCATCCAATGCCTGAAGTTCTCTGGGTGGTTTACAACAGCTTATAAAATACATTATAAAATACAGATAACAATAAAACACCACAACAGATTTTAAAACCAGATTTACAAATCAAATTTAAACAACTTGAGTCTCTAACACACATTAAAACAACAGCTAACATACACTATTTCAAGCTGCTCAATGACTTGGCATAGACAACAGTCTTCATCTGGCACTGAAGGGAATATAGAATTGGTGCCAGGTAGATCTCAGCAGGGAGCTCGTTCCATAATTGGGGGGCCGCCACTGAAAAGATACTTCTTCTTGTTGCTGCCAACCAAACCTCCCTTGGAGGTGGCAGTTGGAGGAATGCCTGGATATTGATTGTAGTATCTGGGTAGACTGTGGATGGGAGAGGCATTCCATCAAATACAGCATTCCCAATATGTTAGAATGTTTTCCAACCCCAGTAAATGAAATACTCTGAGCATGTGCTGTTGTGCTTTTTAAGCTCCTTTAAATCATAGTGCCATCACAGCTAAATGAACTAAAATTGCTCCTGATGTCCAGATGCCCTCATCACCTGCTGCCCTCTGGGTGGCCATTTGGAGGCCTCCTAGTTGTACCATTGCTCTGAGTTACGGGGATTCAGAAGCCTAAGAGCATCTTCCACAGAGTGAAAAGCTCTCTGGTGGATGCTGGAGTGAGTGATGACCTGCTATGCGAAGGAAGGCCTGTCCCTTC